CTTTCCCTTAAAAAAAGTTACAAAGCCATGCAGTTTTCTTTTGATGTTGTGACCTAAAAGCATGTCCTAAAAATAATTTGATATTCATAGAAAATACATCTTTGACTATTAATCCAAATTAATAGTAAAAGAAACTTAAGGAGCCAATGTTAAACTAGGATTCTAACTAGAACCATGATATGAGATTAAAAAATAATAGAGAAACACTGACATACAGCTGGAAATATCACAACTTTTGATTGAAACATCTCTGTTAAAACCCATTTTAATTGATAACTGTTGGAACTGGCTGACTGGTTGTATATGGGAGTGTATTATACTATTCTTTCTACTTCTGTGGATATATGAAAATTCCTAATAAAAACTAATGTAACCTTTGGAACTATAGAGCTTGACAACTTATGATCAGTTACTATTCAGATACTCAAAGGTTGATCCTTATGAATGGCTTTTATGTATATGTTCAACCAATTTTGAGAAAACAGATTCCAGCCTCAAAAGCTCTGACTTTTTTCAAGTACACTCATTGAAATCTGTACTAAGTCAAAATGATTTTTTATAAGCCTTCCTTCACCTACTTGGTGATTGATTTCGGTAGGAATAACAAAGGTCACTTCCTGCATGTTAGATGATATATCAGAGTGACTACAATTTTATGTTAGCATAAGCAAAAAACACTAACATTTAATAAGAACTCCTTTTGAGGTAGACAATAATAGTAACAGTTACCAGTAACTATCTACTTACCATGGGTTAGACACTGTGTTAGGTAAATATATTACTTCTAAAATTCACAACCCTTCAAGAGAGGTATTGTTATCTCTGTTTTACAGAGAAGGAAGCTGACACTCAGAAAAAATTTTTTCAAAAAGTAATCAAATGACTTGCCCAAAGTCATATAGTTAAGAGGAGGCAACCAAAATTCAAATGCTAATCCCTAAATTCTTTCTGTCCTATATTAAGCTCCTTGAGAACAGAAACTATGGCTTATTTACTTTGCTATCTTCCACTATGCTTAGTAGCACAATGGAATCTAGTAGGTGCTTAATAAAAGTTTGTTGAATAATAAGCTACTGTATGTCCTGTTTGATTCTACTGATTTATTACACTTTGGTCTTAGGGTCACTTTAAAGACATCTTAAGAATCCAACGTCCTATTAAAACTCTCTGTGAGAATCACAGTCTCCTTGTATCATTTATGCTAACAGCTCCTCTTCAAGGAGACAAGCCAATCCTTGTGCTCTTTTTGTGCAAAAGACTATATTTAGCAGCTAGCAGCAAGGTACATATCTGTACATAAATATATTTTACCTTGCATGTTTAAAATGTATTTTAAAACAAGTTCTATATTTTAAGAGTTGAGAAAATTAATTAGCAATTATAAAAAGACCTAAACTTTATTAAAATACTTCATTACTTCTCTAGGTGTCAGTACAACACATAACGAGAGCATAACATTTTTATAATAACATTCTCATAACATTCCCCTTAAATCTATACATAGAGGAGTATAACCAAATTTAAAAATAAAATGGTACTCTTGTACATGAATTTTTATGGCAACTTTCATGTGCTGTTTGAGAAACTGATACTCTAGTATTAAATATATATTTGTAATTATGTGCTAAGCAATCAGTAACATGACAAATATTTAATAGAGCAAGAAACATATTTAATTCAAATCATATCTAGCTAAATAGTGACCTTATCACTAGTCAAGAAGATGTAATTGAATTCATTATTCCACAGTTAATTCTTATTGCATAACAAAGAAATAGATACAGGTTTCATTTATAGAAAGTAGACATGATACATTTGAAAGCAGAGCTCTATTTCCATTCGTACAGCTTGTCTTCTATTTTTTAAAATTAGGGCTTCCCTGGTGGCGCAGTGGTTGGGGGTCTGCCTGCTGATGCAGGGGACACAGGTTTGTGCCCTGGTCTGGGAAGATCCCACATGCCACAGAGCGGCTGGGCCCGTGAGCCATGGCCGCTGAGCCTGCGCGTCCGGAGCCTGTGCTCCGCAACGGGAGAGGCCACAACAGTGAGAGGCCCGCGTACGGCCAAAAAAAAAAAAAAAAATCCAATTTATTTATTTATTTATTTTTGGCTGTGCAGCGCAGCATGTGGGGTTTTAGTTCCCTAACCAGGGATCAAACCTGTGTCCCCTGCAGTGGAAGCACTGAGTCCTAACCATTGGACCACCAAGAAATTCCCCTTTTGCCTTTTAGATACAATGTTAATAATATGTTCCTACCTCCATTAGAGACTGCTGCCATTATAGCTTTTCCCAGTTGCCATTCTTTTACTACATATCAAATACATAGAGGATATAGACAGATGTATTCCTCAAAATGCATGGAATATTTAAAAAATTTTTAGCTTTGCTATTCTCTTTGCATTCATCACTAGACAAATGAACTTTCGTTGCCACTGTTTCCATTTTCTTAATATTATCCCTTCCTTTCTTAACCTTTTGAATGAATATGCTGGCTTTTTTTTTTTTTTTAAATTTTGGCTGTGCCGTGTGGCATGTGGGATCTTAGTTCCCCCACCAGGGATCGAACTCGTGCCCCTGTGTTGGGAGCGTGGAGTCTTAACCACTGGACCACCAGGGAAGTCCCTAACCTTCTGAAATTTCTCTTTTGATGCTGTTACTATACTGAAAGTAATCCCTTATTTGGTAAATTTATTTAGAAAGACAAGTTCATCTTATTTAGTGCCAAATTCAATGTCCTCTTCTCAGAACTTTCCCCCTGACTCTGCAGCCTGTTAATGCTGTTCACCACTCCTTCCTAACATTCTCCGATTCATTCACTCTCTCCTAACACTCTTGTCTTTTCCCAAAGTTTAGCTGTTAGTCATCTGCTCCTCTTTCTAAAGGAATTACAACAGTTCATCTATTTTTAATAGCCTTGACAATCACTTCTATGCCAAATCTATATCTCTAGTTCTATATTTCCCAACATGCTCTAGTCCCTCATCTCTAATTGCATACTAAAAATTTCCATTTGGAAATAATGCCATTTGTAGCAACATGGATGGCCCTAGAGATTATTATACAAAGTGAAGTAAGTCAGAAAGAGAAATGCCATATGATATCACTTATACGTGGAATCTAAAATATGACACAAATGAATTTATCTATGAAACAGAAACAGACTCACAGACATAGAGAACAGACTTGTGGCTGCCAAGGGGGAGGGTGGGTGAGGGAGGGATGGAGTGAGAGTTTGGGGTTAGCAGATGTAAACTAGCATATATAGAATGGATTAACAACAAGGTTCTACTGTATAGCACAGGGAATTATATTCAATATCCTGTGATAAACCATAATGGAAAAGAATATGGAAAAGAATGTATACATATATATAAATGAATCACTTTGCTGTACAGCAGAAATTAACACATTGTAAATAACTATACTTTAATAAAATAAATTTAAAAAAAAACAACAAAAATAACAATTTCCATTTGGATATCTTGCTACAAAATAATACACCTCAAGTGAAGACGTCTAAAATTAAAAGTTACCTTTTATTGGAAACTGGCTCCCCCCTTTCAAATTCCTCATCTCTAACAATGGCACATTGACTCTCTTTAACCTAGACCCTGGTATCATTTTTTGGACCTTCCCTCTCCTATTTTTTGCACCTTGCTTATATCCAGGTGGTCCCAAGTCCTGTTATTTGTTCCTTTGAAATCATTCTCATATCATTTCCTTCCTTTCCATTGCCACTGCTATGTTGGCTCGTCTTTGCTCATGTGGTTTCTCTTGCTTCCTCTCCCTAGTTTAAATCCAATGCAGTCCTCAAAACTCAAGTCAACCCCTGCTGCAAGCCTTCATGGATTTCCCTTTCTCTGAACACTCATAGCCAACTTTAATCTGTACTACACAATTCAAAATTTAATAAAATATTTTCTTTTATTCTTCGCTGATCCACACCAATTCCTTAAAGGAGATTTTCCTGTTAGCTTTGTAAACCAAGACGTGTACTTTGTTTTTTCTGTATTCTTCATAGTGCCCAGTGCTCAGGTTCTCAAAAAATGCTTGCTAAATTCACATTACAAATTTTCTTCTCTAATATAAAAATGGATTGTATTTTCTAAAATATAAAAAGTATATTAGAAATGGTAAGGAGGGAATACCCTGGCAGTCTAGTGGTTAGCACTCTGTGCTCTCACTGCCAAGGGCCCAAGTTCAATCCCTGGTTAGGGAACTAAGATCCCACAAGCTATGCAGGGTGGACAAAAATTTTAAAAAAACAAAAAGAAATGTTAAGGAAAGTGTCATTTTACTTCTTAAAACACTCCATTATGGCCTACATTTATCTACTTCAAAAGGTATAAAGATAGGCAAACTAGGCCCAATATATTCTCATAATTTGGCTAAAAGGTAGTAGCAATTCTGTTCTTGTCTACCAGGGATTTCTTTCTTTAACTTCTCCATTAGATATTCAGCACCTAAAACAAGTACTTAAATAATCTTAGGCACAACATTTTACTTAGTAGCTACTAGGAAAATGTTGAAATGGCTCCTGCTAAATGAACACCTCAGCTTTGTTTCATAAGTAAACCATTAAGTTAAGAACTGTGAGTCCACAGAGGTTAGACAAGCTCATCTACCCATTACTGATCAGTGACAGACATTAGTCAAGATGTGGGGCTCTTCAGCATTAGACAAAGGCACTTGGGAACTGCTCACACTGTCATTTTATCGGCTTCATTAAATATAGAGCCTATTATGTGTTTGAAGCTAACCCAGCTGGTGGTTCTTAATGATTGTATTTTATTTGTTAAGTGTCTCCAATGCCCCAAATTTTAATTTTTTGGACAATTCTTTGGAGTAAAGGAAACTGAGGTAAAGAAGGATGGGTCCTCTAGTTGCTCTTCCCTCTTTTCTCCCTCCCT